ATCTTGTTCTGGCCTTCGTTGACGATCTTCCTCTTCTTGGCGGCGGCTGTTTGTACTGGAAGAGGCTGCTTGTGCTCTTCCATACTTGGTCCGGCTTCTGGACTGGACCCCATCTGCTCCACATCTTGTTTGCTGGACTTGCGCTTCAACGGTGTAATCGGAATCCCAGCCTGTTGGAGCTTCTGGCGGAGTTTGGCATTGTCCTGCTGCATGTCTTGAAACTCTTTGTTGTCACCTGAGCTTGTGGCTGTTTGACCCATAGTAACAAGACATGGTTGTAGCTGCTCCATGACCATATCCACCAATGGTTGGATGAACTTTGTGGCCTCACTTGTCTTGTCTGGAATGGTCTTCTTTGTTTTGTCCTTGTGGGTGGCCTTGACTGTCTCATCAATGTCTACCCGCTTCTCACGCAAAGCTGACAACAAGCGAGCTGTCAAGACACTTTCCGCAATAGACTTGGTGAGGACGACTCCTGTGAACTTTCCATGACTGAGGCCTCAGATCATCCATTCTTGTATGCCTTTATGTGTAAGGTCAGTCAACTTCACCGGTTTACCTGCAATGCCTTTGGCTCTGGACCATGCTGATGGTTCAATGTAGCGCTTGAGGGTGCTTCTGTAAACCAGGGTCTCATCCAAGTAGTTCTTGCTTGGCTTGAAACGCGAAGGCAACTCTGTATCACCTTGACTCTTGCCAAGCGTTGATTGGCGGCTGTCATACCCACACCTGTTATCCGATTCACACCATTGATTTGTAGTGTCTTCCCAGCCTGACTGCTGCCATCCATTGTTGGCCCAGGACTGTGCACTCCATGGCTCTGACATGTTGAGGGCTACAAAGTTAGATTTAACCATAAAAGAACATGAAACAAAAGAACAAAAGTCTACAAGTTCTTGAATTGCTCTGGAAGCCAAAGTTAAACATGCGCAAGTTAGAAGCTCAAGTACAAGTGTGATTGCCTTCAAGTCTTCAAGCACCATATGTGAGCAACAAGGGATCCACTTCTTGTTTTGAACTTGAACTGCTGGTCACTCTTGTAGGGATTGTTGGATAGCACAAGGCAGCATCCAGTGGTCAGAATATTATAGTACTGCATTGAGCTCCGCAACGCAAAAGTTTCATATGTCGTCTCAGCGATTGAGTAAAGCTGCCACGGCTCTTGAGGATCTCGCCAAGTCTCTTCCAGATGCCCGGGCATATTCATGCAACAATGTGGCTGCTGTGCTGGGAGGGCTCATGTTCGCAGAATAGGCAACTCCAGCAATATTATAGCGATTACGTGATATGACGTAGGCCTTCCCATTCTTGTCGCGATAGACCTGGTCGTCTTCTGTTGCCTTGACCGACGTCACCCATGAACCCCCAGAAATCTTTGTAAAGGACCCCCACGCGGTCCCACAGACGATGACCTGAGCCACGTTCTTTGCCGAAGTTGCCGCGTTGTGAATGACTCTGGCTATTGACCAGTCATCCTCAGGACCGCCATACATGGGATGGCCTATAGCATAGAACGTGTTGTTGTTAGGCACTTTGTGTGCCTCCATTTGGGCCATGGTTCTAAACTTCAGAATAGAACGCAAGCCGCCAACTGTTGTTGCATGTGCCCAGAGTAGCATCTGGTTCTCTCTGCTCGGCAGGGGAGCGTCCTTGATGGTCAGGTCCTGCGACGTCAACAAATAGTATGGATACAGGAGTTCTGGGTTGGGATTGTCCCATGTGCACAGGCCTCGATCTGACCCGTAATCATGCTCCAACAGAATACCATGCTGCACACCAAATCTGCAAGCACATGCAATGGCCTGAATATATTGCTGAGACTGCTGGGGGAGTTCAAAGCCTTGCACCTCAAAGCTTGCCCAGTCGATGTCATACTGATTGATGTTCTGTGGCATGCTGACATCAGTGTCAACCAGGGTGCTGGGCATCTGTCTCCTTCTGCGTTGCAGATCAGCCCTGCTTCCATGCGTTGCTCCAAGGAAGGTCCCCTCCTGCGCCCTGCGCACCCTAGGGAACGCAGAGTATGGCCTGGCCTTGTGCTTTGCTCTGGTGCCAAGCTCCTGGGTCTCTGTAGGTCGTCTCCGCGGTATAGGCGTTTGGTGCGACTGGTGTCACCTACTGACAGAGTGGCTAGCCGAGGGGCTATCTTGCCTTGTCCTGATGTCCAGAGCTTGTAGCGCGTCCTGCTGCTGGTTGCTTAATATCTGAATGTGAGGCCACTGCCTTCTCAATGGAGATCTGTCTCTTCTGGGCATTCTTTGTCCCAGATTCAGTAACTGCTGAATATCCTGCGATGCATTCCGAATTGTCAGAGTGAAGTCCATGGCTGACTGCAAGGCGGACGCAGTTTCTGTTTAAAAGAAAAAGAAAAGAAAGAAAAGAAAAGAAGGAAAAGGAAAAGATAAAGAAGAAAAGTTATCAGCCAAGTCGCGCCTGTGGTTGCTTTATTCAGGGATTAGGGTTCAAATGAAATGAGTGGATTCAAATGGTGTACCTTTCAGGAGCTCTTCAACAGGTGCCTTCAGCCAAGTATCAGCTTGAACAGCTGCGTCAGGTCGTCAACTTGTCCATCACGGACGGTCAAGAACTCAACGTTTGCTGTTTGGGGTCTTCTTAGCAGGTCCCTCAACATCATAGCCTCTCAGGCTGGTCCCCCCAAAGGAGTAGTCAATAATACGGCGTCGCAGTCCGCGGTAATGGCGCCACGAGGGAATGCCATGCTTAATGTACACACTTGAAAGGTTCTCAACCCAACAAAAGTTGAGTTGAAGGACTCGCAGTCCCATCCGCTTCAAGGCACTAGTCAAGGGGGTTTGTTGGAGGTCTTGGCCTGTTATGAACTTAGATGACTTATTTGGGCTTTCTCATCATGTATGAACAAGGACCAAGTTGCAGCAACATTGCATGGAGAATATCATCCAAAAGACATCAGGGAATAAACTTTAACAAGAAAATCTCTGCTCTGAGGAAGCTCCAGGCTCATTGCAACCCTTGCGCATTCACTTGCATGTTCACTTACATCATCTTCAAACTAGCTTTAGAATGAATAGCTACAAGGCACTAATGGGAGCAACAACAATCCGGAACTGTACGGCGTAGTAATAGATGAAAACTTTGTCACGGCATTCTTCTGCAGGTACGTGGGAGTGATCAGTTCCCATATCAGCCATAAGTGCAGCCCTCTTCGTTGGACCAACAACTGCACCCATGGGATGGTCCCCCTGCGGAAAACTTAACATCACACAGCAGTAACCCTCAATCCTTGGAATTTCGGAGGTCTCACACACACACACACACACTTTCTGTAAGCCCTTGCCCAGAAATTGTACTCTCTACTTGTGCGAGACTTACATGGAACTTTCGCATAACTTTCGCACGAACTTATGTACTGGTAGCCAGTCTAGACAAAAAGTTTGACTTCCGATAAGCTTCCTTGTAAAGCCTTGGTTTGAGTCCTTCAGAGCCATAGACTTGCAGAGCCGAGAGCCTGATGCTGCAGGTTGGGTGTAGAAACTTCGTGAGCTTTTGCCGTGCCATCAAGAGTCTTACTTGTAGCATCGAGTTAGTCAAGAGGAGCTGAGAGGCCCAGCAGAGCAGCTACCCTCCGCCAAGTGAACATTACCCTTCCCCGAACCAACATGCAACCACTGCGAGGGCACACCAAACCTGCATGGGCGTACTCATATTTCTTAACACAAGCTGGCCTCTCCAAAGGGTCGGCTGCTGAATATAGGACATATCTTCAAATCCTGGTGGTCCATCGACATAAGCTTTCCCATGCAGACCTTGAAATCAACGCTCAACTTCAGATGAAGCCATGCACATTTACATGGAAACCCAGCGATCTGTTGAAGGACGCTAGAGTGTCCTGTAGGAAAAGTCGGATGAATTTCGACGACCACACCGGCAAATACAGAAAGCCATACAGTGGCAATTTCGACGTGCAACATTACGGCCTTGCCACCCTCCTGCATGCCTTAATGCCCCGTTCAAGTATTGGTGGCTTAAGCGGCTTTGCCTCCAGCTCTAGCAGCTCTGGAGCTGTCCTGCGAGAAGCGGAGGCGGAGCCTTCTGAGGCCTCGGCATACAGGTAGGTCTCTTGGCGATTGAAAGTGGATTCGGCAGGGTGGCAACTTGCAGTCACACACAGCTTTCCATGCTTGTGAGCCTCCTTCTCCAGAATCGCGCGCATTGCCTACCAATGACGAGAGACAGTGGAAAAGCTGTCTGCTTCGCTGGAAGTCATTGATCTGTCTGATTGCATGAGGAATCACCGCACCGTCTAGCAAATGCTAAGAGATATCCAGTTGCCAGTTCTCTTGTTTCAGCCCATGAAGTTCCCAAAGCAAGGACGGAAGGATCTTCTTGCCGGTTGAGCAGTGTTCGACACATGATGGTTCTCCACCCTTAACATTGCTCATGAGCTGTGAGCATCCTGCACACTGCTGAAGGGTCGCTTACGCTGACCCCATATCCGTCTATTGCTCTGACACCCCAAGATATCTAGTTTGTTTTCCCACGTGATCGTGCAAAGCGGCACAAGACCTTCCATGCAACGGGCTGAAGTCACTCTGAATCCTCCAACGCGTTCTCTGAAGAAACGGGGACGCGCAAGGCACACGTCGCAGCTTGCCAGGTTTGCACCCACATCAGCAGCGCGGGTTGTGACACACCCTGTCCGCGTGAATCCCCAAATTCTTGCAAGACCTACGGGTACCTGACGTCTCTCCTCCCAGTGCCTGCTGCAAATTCGTCTTGGCTTCATGAAGTCCAACAAGACTGTCCTCACAAGCGTCGACATTGCCATGCTCCAAGCGTCCCTACAAGCATCTACAAGCCACTTAGGGTTCCGCAAGGACCGCATGGAAAACTCCTCCCAGTCGCCCTTTGGAGGGATTCCAATCATCAAGGCATCCAGCCTTCTCTTGCTGAGCTGCTATATCATCAGCCATTTCCTGCTGTGGGCTTGCAGCGAATGTGCTTCCTTGATGACCACTGAGCTACCACTCTCTGATGTCTCCAGCCTGCTGGTCCAAGTGAAGCACATCGAGGTACAGAACCGTTCGCAGCTGCTTCGGCAAGCCCTTCACATGAGCAAATTGGAGGAGCCAAGGATCCCTCAAGTGGAGGTTGTCATCCCAGAAAAATGCCCCTTGGTGCTTCCTTGCGCGCGCTTGGGGTCATGATGCATGTCTTCATCATCTTGTTCAGTCTTAAAAACGAAAGCATGCTTTTGTTGGACGGCCCTCAAGTACGTCGAAAAGGGAGCTCAAAATCAGCTTCTGCCTGGCAGCAGGTCAAGGAGATCCAAGAAGGCTGCAACCACCTAGCCTTCGCCACTTCCCTGCCTAAGTAATCCAAGACCAATTCATTTTGCAGGTGCCTCGTCCATACTGTCAGGGACAAGGTAGGCTGCAATGAGCAACATCCACATCTGGCCAGAGATGCTGAGCTGCACACACATCTGCGAGCAAGCATCGCAGATGAATTCGAGACAGTGCTCGATTCAACTGGGCTTTCGACGCTGTGCAGTAGAAACGCCGGAAGAGCCAGAAACTCAACCGTCCTGACCTCGGCTGAAGCTGTGCAACAAGGACAGCAGAAGGCTTCACAATGCGTGCGAACTTATTGCGAGTGCCAAGAGTCTCTGCATGCTTCAGATGAATCCAAACACCAAGATTTGCAAGGATCGATCATTACAACATAAACAACCAAGCCAAGACCCAAGGGTGCTGCAGACGACCGATCAACGAAATGGATCAAAACACCTAAGTCCAAGCTTCAACGGGGCTGTCTGATAAGATACTTTACGCAAAAACAGTATACATGTTTCCATATGAACCATTCGCAGTTTCGTCGTGTAGAAGCTTATACTGAGACATGCATGGCCTAATCTTTGCGACAAGCATACGGCTACTGGCAGGATCAACCAGGTTGAATCTCCACGCATGCACAACACTCCTCAAGAAGTTTTGAGCAGGTGCATGGCTTAGTGTCTTCCATAGATAACCGTCTCATCACCATTGATGAAACACAGAACCTTCAGATCAAACCCCAAACCCTAAACCCTAGATTAATAATCGCAGAGGAATACCTTGCCTTCTTGCAGCTGCAGGCGAGAGCAAGGACAGCATGCCACTTGTTGAGGGTGCTCTTGGGACGTTGAAGATGCACAGTTTTCCTTATTGCCACTACATCCGACAGGATGACCTCCGTCACGAACCGAATCGTTCAGGAACCGAACCGCCCCGAACCGAAAGAAACCGGACCATAAGAAGGTTCCTATTCAAAACCCCGGGTCGTATAGCATTTAAAGGTACATGGGCTTAGGACATAGAAATGGCATTCCTCCGGTTAAGCCGGCTATATACGGGTTATAAGTTTTAAGAGCTCAATTCGTACATAGCCCTATAATAAGCTTTGGCCGCGTAGCGGCGGAGGATTTATTGGGGTTTGTAACCGCCTGAAGATAGCAGTGATAGTAATAATAATGGTATTAATTAGTAGTAGGAATAGTGATAATAGTACATTACCAGATAATCGTAATGATAGACAATCATAATACGAATAGTACCCTGACAAGCCAGACGCCCGCACCTCGTCAAGTGTCACACTGCAAGTAGACAATGAGCCTTGCAAATCTGAACCCTCCTGTACAATAAGGAACCGGAGGAACCGTGGAACCGAACGGTACGAATCGAACCGTCTTGAACCGGTCAAAGGTTCATAGAGAGTTTTGTTCCTGGCAAACCGACCCGAATGGAACCGTGGCCACCCTGATCCGAGCGATGCAAGACATGCAAAGCTGACGGCCTTATAACTAGCCTGATTCCAGGCATGTCTGGTCCAAAGACGCAATCTGTGAACCTCACGAAGTAATCCGTTCCCCAGTTAGAAAAAATGAATCCAAAAGACATCCGGATGCTTGGAATCCTTGAAGAATACGCTGGAACGGGGCATACTGAGGCCAATTAGCAGGGTGTTTCTCATGAAGTAGCAGGCATTTATTCATAAGGAGCCACAAGGGATTTGGAATCTCCTTCATGTGCTAGATTTTCACCGTGCTTTAATGGGCTTGTAACTTGCTACATTGTGTTTTTGTAAGGCTAGCAAGGGAACTATGACATGTTGCCTTGCCCCTCCCCGCTCCCCTTTACAGCAACATGCGTAACTCGGTGAGATCGTGGCTGGCTACCCCCCCACCCCTTGCCCCCTCTCCCCCTTCCCACAAAGGTGGATCCAGGCGGCCCATGTAGAGTGGCGGAAACGACATGCAGACTAGCCTCAGCCAGCTAAACGCAATCTAAGCAAGCCTCTGAATTTGAATTTGGTCTTCATGCGGAACTGGGGCGCTGGCACAGCTAGAATCCCACCCCACTGCTGCACACCTTGCCGATAGAAGTGGGTTCCAACATGGGGCTCGCAAGCCGAAGAATGGCCTTCGGACACGTCCAGGCGCAGCAGCAAAAGTGCCCTCAGATTCCCAACATGTGGATGGTGGATGAGCTGAAACGCGGCCCATGACAATTCCCCTGTCCACCATGTTCACCAAGAGATCTGGATTAGTTTGCCATGGCAAGCTGTTGCGCAAACCTGTGGTGGTTACTTTAGGCATTACCATAGCGCGCTGCAAGGCTCCACCAGCTGCTGGCTATGTGGCAAGAACGCTACCGCAGGAAGCAAGCCCATGTAGGATTGATTGGCAAATGAGGTATGATCACACTCAATGTGCTGCGAGACATTGCCATGACTGGCCATGACGTAAAGCACTCTTCAAAGGTACTCAGGTCTGAGCAAGCACTGCACGCCCAGCAAGGACAGCGCAGCACCGGAGGGAGTCTGCGACGGCATATGTATCAAAGGCAATTGGACTGCCTGCTTCATGGTGCCAGTGACTTGGATCGGGCGCAGGCAGGCCGCTGTTTATTGAGTCTTTGCAGTGTCCGGGACGGTACTGCAGAAAGCACATCTGCCCAATATCCCGTACGAGCATATCCGAGCATGCACGAGCTCAGCATTGCAGAGGATGACGCCGCGCATTCATCCACACTTCTGCACAGATTCAGTTGCTTGGGCGATTCGGACTTCATGTCTCGTCGGAAGGCACAGGGGTTCAGCATGAGCCTCCTCTGCGATGGCTCCCACGATGTAATAGGAAAGGGCGCACAGCAGCTGGTTCATGCCTCGCAAGGAGATCTTGTCTCTTGGCGACGAGGACCGGCAAAAGCTTGAACAGTCAAGGCTTCTGCCCAGGGCCATGCAGACGCGAGCGTAGGCATCGTAGAAGAGCCACCGCCGCTGCTCCTCAGCAGCTTTGCCAGGAGACAAAGAAGCAGAACCAGGAAATGCAATACCAGCGACACAAGAGGCAGCGCCCCTCCCAGACCTTTAACAGACCTGGCAATCAATTCCACAAGACTGTTACCAGCCAGTCCTTCAGAAACCGTCGGAAGTGATACTCCCTGTCGGACAGCGCCTGCAATGAGCATCAGGGATGCGGCGGCTGCAAGACCTAAATTGTGAAACTCTCAAGCCCAAGAACTGGAGCTGGCTCCAAGGGCTCAACAATTCAAAGCGCAAAGTGTTGCATGCGATTTCTGAGAACTGCAGAGCCCGGCAGCAGAAGTCCCCGCAGAATACTACAGGAACAGGTACTTCAAGGTAAATGAAGCTGACCAATTTTGCTTCACAGCTACGAGCACAAGCCTGCTGTCTGTCAAGCACTACAAGCATGCCCCCAACCAGCCAAGCACCTTGGCCCCCTCCTGGATTGCCAACTCGGTCCTTTGCATTTTCTCAGGCTCTTTAGCCCTGCTAAGAAAGCCACAGCCAACATTGAACCTATCTGAGGCTGAAGCGCTGTTGCCCCCAAACCAGCCGCAGCCCTCAGCAACTTAGAAGAGCAAGAGTGCAAACAAGCACTGCTGTCTCTCATGAACCTGCAAAGTGCTCTTGAAGAAACCCTGACTAATCCTGACAGGCTTCCAAAGGCCGGCACCTTGCCAGGTCAGTGGTCTCCTGCCGCAGCGCTTCCGCTGCAGCTTGCGAGGCCTGACCAACTGGAATCTTAGAACCTAGCCGTACCGACAGCGATCACCACGACAGCGTGACAAGCCTGCCGAACCTCCTCCAACTCCGCTCCCGATTGTGCTCCAGCCTTCCCAGGGACGGCGGATGGCTGCGACAGGTTGCGGGCTGCTTTCAACAGCCATGCTCTTCTTGAATCCCATACCTTGCCTGCGCCTGAAGGCCCAGGCGCTTCCCGAGCTGGCGAAACCGTTCCATCCTGCTGCTTTTCCAATAGCTTTCCCTCATTGTGTTTCACAGCTTTGCAATTGCGAAAGGGCCCTGGCATTGGCACCAATGGAGCCTTTGCCACCTGGCAACAAGCAAGCCAACTTTGGCCGTAGGTCTGGTCCTTTGAGCCTGTTGGCTTCGCTTGACTTACCTCATCCAGCTGGGTGTCGGCGTGTATTGGGAGCTGCGGAGGATTTCTTGACTCCAGATTCGCTGTTTGAACCACATTTCGCTCAAAACCTGCCTTGTCAATCGTTTGGCTTCAGGATGACATGCCGACTGTTACCCACACGCCCAAACGATCGTAAATGCAATGCATCACAATGATGGATCTGTATTAATTGCAAACCAAATCATACCGCAAGCTTTCCTTTAACGTTGCAAGGAGTCAACGATGGCAAATGCAATCATCACAATCATGGATCTTTCTTGTCTGCAAACCGAATTATGCCGAAAGCATTTCGTTAACATTGCAAGGAACCAACGATCGCAAATGCAAAGCATCACAATAACGGATCTTTCCTGTCTGCAAACTGAATTATGCCGAAAACATTTCTGCAACTTTGCAAGGAACAAATATAATTATCAATGCACAGCATCGCAATCATGGATCTTTCTCTGCAAACCGAATCATGCCGAAAGCATTCCATTGATGTTGCAAGGAGCAATGGGCGTAAACGCAATGTATCCCCTCGATATATCTTTCGATATCTTTCGTGTCCGCAAGCCGAATCATACCGAATGGATTCCATCAACCTTCGAGGAACACCTTATCGTACATGCAAAGCATCATAAAGCATCACAATAACGGATCCTTCTTGTCTGCAAACCGAGTAATGCCGAAAGCATTCCAGTAGCGTAGCAAGAAACAAACAGTAGCAAATGCAAAGCATCACAATCATTCTCTGCAATCCGAGTCGTTCTGAAAGCATTCCATGAATTATCATTGCAAGGAGGAAACGATCAAATGATGGCAAATGCAATGCATCACAATTACGGATCTTTCTTGTCTGCAAACCGAGTCACGCCGAAAGCATTCCATTAACATTGCAAGGAATCTATGGTTTCCACATCAATACGCCTGGCCTCTTCCAACTCCTTGCGAGTGGGGATGGAGAGCCGTGCGAAGCTGGTTAACAGCCGGACGCCTCAGTCTCAGTGTTTGACGGCCCGATTCACGCGAACATTGATTGAAAATTGTAATTTGTATAACATACAGCAAAGCAGGTTGCATCATTGAAGGAAGTGCCACTCTTGCGAAGTTGTCTGGGACATCCGGGGACCAAACGTACAAATCCCTACCTTCTGCACGATCAAGCACATCAACCAAGCTTGGGAAATGCCCTCTGCCCACGAAATCGATTAAACCTGCTCTCCGATGTTTACCCTGAACTCTCAAGGATCCGAGAAGGCTACGTTCGTATGGTTGGAGTCAACAACAAAATCTGGATTTTGTGAGGTACGAAAGTTGCTCTCTGAAGTTGCTCTCTTATAAACATAACTGTGCTCAAGCCTAACGCACACACCAAAAAACATGTTTCACGACAGTCCTACTCAGGATCCACTGATAAGCTTTAACTGTCCACGCCTAGCCGCTATGCGCCTGAGCTGGGCGGCACGGACGAAGCTGCCAGAAGGAAACGATAACCAATGACTTGAATTGTCGACGTCTGACTGAGCCAAAGGCCAATAGAATGCGACGCCACTGAGGCGTGCATGGACAACCACCTGGGCAAAACAGCCATGCTTTCGTCCTCGCGTGCATCGTGTAGCCACCCCACATCCCTTTTAAGCACTGGCTAAGCATTCGGTCGGTCCAGCCAGGCCCCGGGCACGGAGAAGATGAGAAACCCACAGGCACCTCAGTCGAGGAGCAGGCTAAGTTGTGTTAAGCCTGCTACAAATACCAAAAGAGCCAGAGCAACTGAGGCCAAAGCTCAGATTCGAGATGAGAAAGAAAACCTGACTCAAGTGCACGTTGTCACCGTGTCAATGAATTTGCACAGGGTTGGGCTGTAAGCTCTCAAGCATTCGTTTGCTGCAGTTCGTGTGGACAAGTGTGCCGAACTTGCCTCTCGTCGAGCTATGGATGTGCCTTAAAGCAAGAAAAATCTGTCGGCCAAGTGGCTACCAGAAAGGCCTTGCTTTGACTCTCCCCAGCTTCCTGACGGTCAAGAATTCAGGGTTCCTGCAGTGGCTTCTGATTACTTAGCATGTGCAAAACATAAATTTGCAAAGGGCCGCATATGTGTTTGGGACATGGTCGTGGGAGTGGCCTCACATTCTTTGCTCCTGCCAAGAAGCTTCCCAACGCTCCCAGCAACAACAAAGTAGTGTGCCGCAGAATCAAGATCTTTTCTGGCCTCGAGCATCTGGTTCTCGCAGTAAAAGTGAATGCAAAACCTGGACACGCCCCACAAAAAAGTTGTGCTTCCTGATGTCTACATTTTGGGCAATCTCGGACGGCACGGTTTTAGACCGTTGTCTGCACACAATCATGCAGCAAATTGGACCCACCTTCCTTGACCCCAGCCGTTCCCAGGTTCAGATCTCAGACTGACTGAAGCCCCGGAGCGCGAAACTTTCTCACGACACGCGCATGTGTGGCATGGCATAGCGTGGCATGGGATAGCACATCCATGCATATCCGGCCCAAATGCAAGCCGAAAGTCAAAGCGCGGGGTGCGAAAGCTCCCACGGGCACGCGAGAGTGCAAGTGTTGGCTGCAACATACGGCCCAAACACACAGCCTCAGGCGCCGAACCAGGCACAAGAACTACCCAAAGAGATGCGCAACAGACGTCACACAATGCAGGCGCCCGAAGAGGTCCACGCTTGCGGAGAGTCCCATCCCCCTGCAATAGGTCCTCTCAAGCATGTCCTGACCGGCATGTGGCACATTGCGACATGCAAAACAAGTTGACTGGGATGAACCTTGACCATCAAGGGCTGTCGGAATTATCAGCCTTAATTAGTCAACAACACAGTGGTCAGATGCCGGCGCCGAATGCTGGCTAGGGCACGAAAGCTGACTGTACAAGTGCTTTAGGATGAAGGGTTCGCCATGGCAAGAAAGCATTCTCAGCGAGAGACCATGCAATAGAAACAAAATGCCCGAGAAACTGTGGTGAACCTGATACCCCCAACATGGCGGACCTCACAACTGGATGCTTCAGAAATGGAGACCGACCTCTTGAACACCAGCCTTGAATTGTGCAAGAACTCCGGTTGAAGCTCTTCTGAGGCGACCGCTCTAGCAGCAGTGCACCAACCAAATGATACACGTCCATGCCTTGGCCAATCATGTACCACACGCAAACACATTTGCAGGCATTGACGCAGATGGGAGCAAGGATAACCAAATGCTGAATTCGAATTCGAACACGTGCATCAGCATCACCTGCTTGAAGCTAAGACAGCCACGCCCGACCGTAAGTTCGACCAGATCTCTCAAGTCCTGTAGCGTTTACAGGCAGCAAAGCGAACCACTTGTGGGCATTTGCAGGTGGCCCCAGCATTGAGCAACCCTGTGGTCATGCATGTCATGCTTCATGCAACCCATTGCAAGATGCAGCAGCCTTAGACCTCGCAGTCGAGCCCTGAAAGCAAGAATGACACTGTAGACATGGAACCCTCTATTTGCCTCGCGAAAAAGCTTCTGCTGCTCAATGTTCCTTGGCGACTCAGGGGATGGTGAATGCAGTATGCATAGACGTTTGCTTCAGTGTTGTTGAATTTAAATGCGCATCTTGAAGGACATCTCTAGCCCCTGGCCAGCATGTTCCTGGAACTGCAAGTGCAAGTGCATTACCTCACTAGTACTGAGTTGATGCTCTCAGCCTCGTTTCCGGAGGAAACACAAGGACGGCTGGACAAGCAAGAGCGCAACAAGTTTTCGGCCATCACAGCTGCGGATCACAACAGTCCCTCTAATAAGTAAAGAGCTGACTTTTCGGCCTGGACTACTGCTTGCGCAACAAGTAACTGAGCCACGGCCAGAGGGCAGGCAGCAAGAAGTACTACAGCAGCAATCTTATGCGACAGCGGATGAGCACATGCAGCAAGAAGCGGCTAATTGATCTGATGTCCAGCTCTCCTGAAGAAGACACAAAGATGGTTGAAGATGCCTTCATTCCGAGCCTTGCCTTGCAAAACCCTGCTAGACAGTCCAAATGTAGCATGCAATGTTCCATGTGCAACACGTGCGCCATGGCTCCTGCGCAAATGAACTTTAAAACTGGCAATTGCTGGCAGGGCTCATCTCGTACTCAGCTAGCCTTCTGTGGAAATTCTGCTCTGCGGAGACCACCTGCCAGCGGCACAATAGCAGCTTTATCTCAGAACCTGCTTCGTCAACATTGACTGGCAATCACTGCAAATGAAGAACAGCGATCTTCCTTGCCTGGCCCTCGACAAACAGTTCCGGAAAGGCATCCTTCACGAACCCGCCTTGCACAGACTCCGGAACCAAAAGGGGAATTTGGACGCTTAGCAAGTTCAAGCTGGGCGTCGGAAGCTCAGGCTGGGGCTTAAGATCTCGGCCATGGCTCAATCAAAGATAACGCGCCATATGTCAGGCTGCTGTTTGTCTTTCGGTTGACTGCGCATACTAGCTCCACATGCAGACTCCATGACTCATTCCACATCGTGCTAGCATGCGCCTCCAATAGCAGCAGCTAAGCTGGATCAGTGCAGTAGATCACCGAGGCAGCGCCCCATGCCATGCTCTTGGCTTGGAAGTTTGGTTTCCGCTGAGAATTCTGAGTAGGCGATCCAGTTGCTCTGTGCAAATTAGCCATGAGAGCTTGGCGAAAAAAAAAGTCAAATTTCCTTGCCTGATGGCGCAAGCTCCCTTGCAGCAAGGCTGAAGGGGTCAAAACTAGCAGCGTTTCGTAGCAGCCAGTCATACTTTGGCCATCTTGCAGCTGTTGCAGACTTGAGCTCTGTTGCAAGTACTCGGGCCTCCATCAGGTCCTTGAGCTGGATCCTCGAGCTGCCTCTCAAGAGCCTTCATAACTGTGCAAAGCACGACGCACCTCCACCGTTCAGTCAAAGCCCTGCAAGAGACCATACCCATGTGGAACATCAGCGAAAATTTCTCACTTGCTGATGACATGCATGAGTTGTTGTCCATTCATCTTCTGCCACATTAAGGCATCACACACAATCTGGATTTTCCAACAATATTGCTTTGTTTGTACTCGCTTCTTCAGTCTGCTGCACTACCTACGAGTTGCAGTAGATACCTTTTTACAGTCTTTGCTTGCAAGGCGTGATTCGTATGATGCACGGTTTTTATTTGTTGTAATACGGACAGAAGTCATGGTCATTGACAAGGTGAGACAACCTGAACAATTTCTTGTCCTGGCAACTGGTCAATGGAAAATAGGTGAGAGTGTTATCTTTATCCAGTTTTTTTTGTGTATATGTTGTCGCTGTCGTTTTTGGTGAGTGTGGTATCGTTTTCCAATCAGAAGCCCTGCGTCACGAATCCAATTCCCATCCTGTACATATCTCCGATGACTAATAATGTTCACCTCATATTAATAAACCCCGCGTAATTGCAAAATCCAAATCCCAGAACGTAATTACAAACCACCCCGTAGTTGCAAAATCCAAGCTGCCAAAACGCAAAAATACTGGATGCTTCTACTACTGGCCAGTACTACTAATGGCTACGACGACTGGAGTTCCCACACGGTCCCGGATACCCTTAATTACGGAGGCTCGGGTTCACATCCTCGGAGGGGGGGGATCACGCACACCTCCTGCAAACCTTCCGCGAAGTCTTCTGGTACTGCAAGAAGTGAAGTACCTGCCCAGAAGCAAGCCCACATGCGTGATTAACCAGTTCAACATTTTTTTGAAGCCACAGCGACCAGGAATGCTGCGCGTTTACGGGCCTCGATGGTCACACTTGCAATGGAAAGCTGGCCTGTGTCAACAACAGCTCGACACTGGCCATCGGCGCAGTAGTCCAGGGTCCTCATCCGCAGCTGTTTTGGGCAAGGATTTGAGCGTGCAAGCCTTTCTGCTTTGCTGTGAGAACCTTGGTGGCCCTGGTACGCAATCACACCTGCCCCTCAGCCGGGCCCGCGGTCCAAAAATAGGTGACCTTATCTTGAAAGGCTGCACTGTTGAGGCGAGCCTGTCGCCGATACGGATTGCCTTGATTTCCACCTGCCAGGCAATTTCAGCTAAGAAGACAGACCACATTTTCTTGCGGCCGGGAAGCATTCAGCAGTCCTCTTTGCAAGTACGCATGCCCTGTGAACTTGCAACATGGCCTGCCAATAGCCCAAGTCCGGAAGGGCCACCGGGGCCCAAGTCATCGGAGAAGCAACTTTGTCCTCTCCAAACATTGGTGAACAAAATGGCGAAGCCTCACTCTGTGTCATCCGGCAGCGCTCCACTACCCGATTTCAACATTCTAAACCAGAATTCCACCAGCTCAAGCCCAAGCTTCATGCTTTTTTTGTCGGACGTGTGCTTGCTGAGCGCACCGCCTCCGAGGATCCACCGAAGGAGATCTCGCTGACCTCCGCATCGGTGTCCGCCAAGAAAACACCTCAAATAGTTCTCTTCACCCCTCGCAGGACCGCCAACCTTCCACATCCAGAATGTTAAAGTCTTAAAAAATGGAAGCCCCAGGCGTTGAACACTGATGCCCTGTTGGACGCCTCTGCAAAAGCACTTGTAGGCATGCGCCTTCTCTATCACTGTTTCCCTCAACTAGAAGAATGTTTTCGGACACGAGGTTGGAACGGCCGAAGACCCAATTTGAGCAACACTCGTGCCCATTCACGGTCCACAGTCTCTGTGGGCGTCTGGCCAAAACTGCGGTGCTCCAAGGCAACCTGTTTGGCCATCATCCCAAAGAAGCTAAACCTGGCGTCAGGCAATGGTTTGGACAGCACCGCAATGCTGATACTGGTAGAAAAGTGCCAAGGATGCTCGGGAGCCAAGGCAAGGCTGTCTAGCCTCAGTGAAACATTTCAAGCTTTCGGATTCAGGAATTTCTCTGCCAGCGCCAGCTCCAAGGACCGTTTCTCCTCAGCGAAAATGCCACGCAGGGTTTCCTGCTAAAGCCAATTAAGGCGAACTGGTACAAAGGCAGCAAACGGCCGAAAGAGTCGCAGGTAAACAGATCATGTCGGCCACTGGCTGAGCATGGTTAGATTTCAGGACGCAAAATCTTCATGGAAGTGAAACTGACTGAGCTGGTGCTGGAGTACGCCAGCAAGTTTGCCCAAGAACGCCTGGCGCAAAAGGATCTTGCAGCGCTGCTCCCAGAGATAGCTGGCAGGCACCTGGAGCCGATCTGAGAGCTGGTGCTGCTCCCAAATGATGTTCGCAGTGTTGAAGCCTCAGAGACATTTCTTCCTATCGCCACCAATCAACACTGAGAAGGAAGGCTTGATGGCAAGATGCTGACCAGATCTGCCTGTATGCGAGCCTCACGGCTAAAAGGGAGATTTGGCCGCCAAATGGATGCACAATGAATTTGGTATTTTCGCTGCTTTTTGCTTGTTCTTGGGAAGCTCTCAGGCAAGAGCTCGATTTTGCGCTGAAAAATGATGAAAAACCATGAAATATGATGAACAATGATGAATATGATGAAATCTGATGAAAATCATGAAATATCATGAAATGATGAACAATGCTGTCATATGACGGATTATGACGGAAAATAATGGAACGTGATGAACAGTATGGAAAATGATGACAAATGTTGAAACATGATGAAACAGTATTGAATATGATGGAAAATGATCAAATATGATGATTAGTGATAAAGAATCATGCAACATCATGAATACGTTGAAATGTGAAAGGTTATACCAAATGATGAGAAAGCATGAAACTATTATTGAGAAATTATGGCAAATCATGGAAACTGCTGAAGGATCATGGAACATTATGAAATATGATATGATGAACACTGTGAACATGGTCAGAAACAGCAAATGAAGAACCATGATGGAAAATCATGAAAATGATGAAATGCTCTAAAATGACGAAAGGGTCCGGCTTGGACAGCCTTGAACAAAAAAGGCGGGGGGCCTGGGGAGGAGGGGCGCCGGGCAGCCCCCCCCATGTGCAAACAAAATTATCTGTGTAACCATCCCTCATTGCAAACACGGTGATGGCATGACGCTGCTTTGAGCATGGATAGCCTTTAAAAAAAGGTTGGGGGGCGCGGCCCCCTCCATGTGCAAGCACAATGGTCTGTATAACCATCCCACATTGCAAACATGGTGATGACATGATGCTTTTTTGTAAAGGCATTGATGGTCGTTAACAACGCCTGGGGTTGGGGACTATGAAAACCAGTGAAGATCATGGGAAGTCTGAAAAAGGATGTAGAACGATTAACTAAGAAATATGAAGTCGATGAACAACACTGACGGAAATTATGAAAATGATGAAAAGATAGGGCAGCTGCTGAAAGCTGTTGGAAATGATGAAAACAACAAGAGCTCAGCAGAAAGGAGGAAGCAAATAGCCAAAAACAACAATCGCAGATAGCAGCAACCGGGAAGCTAAGTGCAGTGAACGAGAAACGGAAAGCTAAAACCAGAAAGCAATGAGCACTCAGGAGATCGCCAGCAGCAACAAACAGGAAGCAAAAAGCTGACATCAAAAAGTAAGAAGCACGAAAGAGAAAAATAGAAAGTAAGAAACAAGCAGCAACAGCAACAGGCACAAAGCAACAAGAGAAGACAAAAGGCCAAAAGCGACCACTTAGAAAGCAAGAGGCAGAAAGCAACAAGCCGAAAACAAAAAACAAAGCACTATGCAGAAAGCAGCAAGCAAAAAGCGAGGAGCAGTTAGCAGAAAGCAATAAGCAGAATCGCAGGAAACAAAAAAAACAAAAAAAGCTACTACAAACGTAGGCTTTCCCGACAAATACGGGTCAACCGGGTACCCCAACAAGAGACCTTCATCTGCTGACTAGTAATCAACACCGAATTCGGTGTCCTGCAGTCAGTTGACATGGTCCACCTGGCACTATCTGTTTAAGGGCCTTCTCCATCATGGTTAGCAGCTGCAACGCAACCAACCACTGGCCAGCTTTCTGGCAAGCAAGGAGGGCCTTGATCCAAGAGCCCATGCATCATGCCATGATCATGTCCTTTGAATTTGCAAGGGCGTGAGCGTGACCACTGTTGCTCAGGGCATTCCTTTGGAAGCATGTCATGTCGTGCGGCTCAGGCACGCAATTGTAGGTGATAAGGTCAGTCGTCGAGGTCTGGTCTCTTAGAAGATGGAGTGAAAGCTGCCATTGGCTGCCTTTCCTCAGCTGATGAGAATGGCGGAGCGCTCATGCGTCATGCGATCAGAATGGCGTTGCAGTCACAGTGTGGGGCCTTGAAACAATCGCTGATAAAACCGCGTCATTGCAGCTTACATCGGAATCCGCAAACGTGCTAAAAAGAAAATGATAGCACGTCCTGTTCCTCCTCGAGCATCTCCAATGCAGATGCCACCGCGTTGAGAGTCAGCAGGTTTGGCACCTTGCGTTCAAGGGCTACAGGCTTCCTCTGGGACTGATGTTTCCTACAAGATTAGCAGTCATTCCTGCTCCTTCCTGACCTTCCAATTTCCAACCCTTCGTGGTGCGAATTGCCAGTGTCCTAGCTGGCATTCCCACAATGCCTTACCCAGTCTCCTGTGCAAAGATCCATTGCCACTGCACTAATTTGTGGATTAGAGTGGATTCAGGTTGGGGTGTGCAAAGTACATAACGCTTATAGTAGCTTCTCACGCATAACCTTCCTCCGTCCGCAATTGAAGTTCTGCTGAGGCACCGTACACCGTCCTATTCTCTACAAGCTCATTTTGGATAATCACCCATTCGCTGGGGGTTTGCTCATGTCCAACCCAATCTCGTCCAAATGGAGACAGTTCCCGACTTCGGCGGCAAGTGTTTCTGCAAAAGATAGCACGTGGAAACAAACAGTCTTTCAACTTGTCCTCAAAGCAACATGCTTTCCTGCCTTCTGCTGGCCAAACTTCCTGCGCGCATAAACAAACGCCAATGCTCATGCACCAACTCTTGCCATCCCGGCACCAGGCGATAGCTCTTCATGGAGAAGAAGAAGCCCAAAGCCTTCAAGGAAGGTCATGAAGACGAAGCCGGCTACATGTGAAATCAGGTGAATCACAGCTTTTTTGCTCATGCAAAGGGGACTTTATTCCTGTGAGAGTGCCATGCCCCGTCCGCTCGCCTGCTGCCACTGCCGCGCCCCAGCACAGGCTACAATCACAGAGCCAAAGCCTGAGCTGCAAGGAACTCTGATGTAACTTACGAAGCTCTGAAATTCCGAGCCCTTGTTTCTCCGGTTGAATCCGTTCAGCACTGCAGCAGGTGTTTGTGAGGCTTCTCATGCATGGAAAACTTTGACCAGCTCTGCAGCACGCGATTACTGAAAATTGACCTAAACATGCATGATCTGCAGAAAGCTACAATTTCCCATGTATGCATGAAAATGTTAGCAGGCAATAGGGTGGTGCTTATAAAAAGGCCAGGTGCTGATGACGTCTGGGGCGATCTCTGCCCCGAGTAAGCTGCCCAAGAGATGCGTGGCCAGCTGCCAGTTGCCACTCAAATCGCAGCAGCTGATTGCGGTGTTGAAGCCTTGTGTGTAGTAAGCCATGTTTCAATACTCACCTGTGTTTTATTCTTTTGTCTGTGCTCGCTTGTAGTCAGTGGCCAAGGCGCTTATCAAGTCCGGCAAGATGTGCTGCCTCTTCATTTGTGTCCTTGTTTGAAGCGGACAATTGCATGACACAACGCAACAATAGGCCTGTCAACCAAGCAGCAGAAAGTGCCAAGCCAGCTCCCAGGCCCCCACCGACTCGCAGGCAGTGATGGCACTGTTGTAACCTTGTCTTGATATTTTTTACAAAATTCAGGGCTTGGCCCGATGCTCAGCCGCAACGGCAAGGGAAGTGCCGGGGCCGAATGTGCAAAGTTCACGCCTTTTGGGCCACACGTAAATCTATTCCACGCTACACACAACTCAGAAGCCAACTTGCCAAAACATATTTGCGGAGTTGAACGGCTGACTTTTTCTCTCGGAAAAGGATTTGCGAGAAAACGACATCTAGGAAAAATTGCAGGTGCGCGGCCAAGCCCTTATCAATACTCTGTGAAAGTCTTCTTTGTTATATGTCCACTCTTGAGATTCGGGACTGATTTTCAAATCAGCTGACGAGCTTCCCTTACAAAGTTGCCAAACTCCCAAAATTCTACAGGGTAGTCAGCTCACAAACGACATAACTTAAGTCACAAGGCGCATGTTCACTTGAATGAATGTGACGAAATGTGATGAACACTGCGTTAGCAACAATGCTTGCAACGTAGTGTGGCGGCAGCTGCAAGCTTGGTGATTTGTTGGCTGAAACACTTGCACGGAAACTGCGCCATCGCTGCAGGCAGGAGACGATTGTAAATGTTTATTGAATGTGCTTAAGGCTGGGCTTGCACCAGTGGCTGAAATAACATGCGGCGGGAGCTGCTGAGTAATTTAAGAATTTTAACGTTATGATTCCAGTTGGGCCTGGGGAGCCGGCGTATCTCGGCAGGGTTAGACTTGTTTAGATACTTAAGCTAGAGTTGTCATCCTCCAGGCCTAACCTAGGGATTCTATATATTCTAGAAACATCCCATGAAACATCCCTACAACATACACCACTGTAACAGTAATTGTGTTTTTGGCTCTGTTTTAACTGATTTTTCAAAAACATGTTTTG